TAGTTTTTACGGTGAAATAATAGGAACACATTATGGATATTTAAGGTTTTTGATCTGGTAAATATTCATGTTTACACAGAGTCTAAGAAAATTGGATCAAGATGCCTTCATTGACAGTCTACAGAATCACCTTCATGAATTCACAGCAGTTAAGTGTGTGAATTCATTAACATTTTATGGAATACAATATCCATATATGCCAGATGAGAAATTCATCAGTATAGGCTTTTCATTACACTGTATCCAGTAACTGTCTGACAGCCCAGTCTTGTTCTAATTTAAGAACTAAAATCCACACTTCAGCATTTCTTACTAGGTGATTATTTCTATACTAACTGCAAGTGCAACTAACAGGGATCTCAGTGCTTATGTATACACATATTTTCATATTTAAATATACCTTTTAAAATGGCTTTTAAAATGTGTTTTTAAAAGTCAGCCAGGAAGCAGTTTCCATAAGGCTTCACATATGAAATACTTCAGTCCTGTTTAACCATAAACAAAAACTGGAACTTCCTTATATAAAAACCTGCATATCAGAGCATTCAACCAAGCCAAACCCACACAAGCCTCTATCCCTAGCCAGCTCAAGGTGGAACAAGACAGACCTTGCTTTAAACATGCTACCTACAATATTTAAAGCAGACACTAAAAACATGACTTTGTGCTGCCAATCCCTGCACCCAAAGTCGCAGAAATTCACATGCGTACCTCTAACAGGTTATTTATATTAAGCTCATCACCATGGTATATTACAAGTGATAGCTTTTAACAGGAGAACAGGTGAACCCTCCTAGTAGGAGTGTAAAATCTCAGTTAATCAGTTAACTGGTTAAACCTTAGGTTTAACCAGTTAACCTATTAAATGAGGTGCTGCTGTCACCCCCTGCACTTGGGTCCTGCTGCTGCCCCCTCTCCTCTCATCAGCCACATTTGGGGGAGGGGACAGCTTCGCCTCCCTGTGCATGAGGCTCTCAGCTGGGGGATCTTGCAGCAGGGGTGGGGAACCTTTATTGGGTCGGGGGCCATTGACCCACAGAAAAAAGTCAGTTGGGGGGGAGGGTGCACACAAGTGAGAAGTAGAAAAAAACTCTCACTGTGGCCCCCCGATTGAGAAGGAGAAAGACACTCCCCACATTCCCCTCTCACACACAGCCTGGGGGAGGGGAGTGCACAACCTAGTAGATTTTGTGTGCTACAGCCCCCAAGGGGGCAGCAGGAGGACTGGAGCACCAGTGCAGGCTCTCCCAATGCTGAGGGGCAGGGCTGAGTCTCAAGGGCCAGATCCAGGCAAGCCGAGAGCCACATCTGGCCCTCAAGCCTGAGGTTCCTCACCCCAACTTAAAGCAATGTAAGGCTTTGGCTGTGCCAGAACGGGATGTGCCTGGAATGGCACTGCTTCTCATAAAACCAAACAACAGAGACACAGAATCACCAAATCAAGTACAGTCCCCAAAATTGACAAAACTGAGTAAATGTCGAGAGAGGGCTCGGCAGGTGTGCAAAGTGCCACCTCTGCCCACTGGCCCCAGCAGAGCTGCTGTAGCAGCTCCACTCTGGGCTGGTGGGAGGCTGTGCCTCCCTCGCAGCTGTGCTGGGGCTGAGAGAGGACAGAGGTGCCGCTCTGTTCTTCTCCATTCATGTGCAGAAGATCTGTGTGTGCCCCAAGGGATGTGCACCGAGAGGAGAAACAAAAACATAGTTGTGGGCGCTCTGTTAATCACTGGGTAGCATCTGAATCGCTCCTGAGTGACCACACAAGCACACAGTTCATTGTGCCTCACCGCCCCCCCAGCCATGGCAGCTCTGTGTTGGGGCTGCTCCCTGCTGGGGCCAGAGGAGGGTGTGCTTCGCACCCCCTCTTGCCATGGCACCCAACCCAGATATACCCCAGAATTGCCAGGGAGAGGTGGTCATCTTTCTGTGGCTTCCACCCAGCCTAACCTGGACCTGGCCCATCCAGGGGATATGTACCCATCTCCTGGCTGTGCCTGCTGGAGCTGGAGCTGAAGCTGCCATGGAGAGGTGCTTGTCACCTGGCCCCAAGTTGCTGCAGTAAGAGAGGGCTGGGGTGGTCCTTTCTCCATGGGTAGCCTTAATACTGAACTCTTGAACCCCAGCCCCACTCCACATCAATGGCTTAAATTAAGCACGTATATGTTTATTTTCCAAAAAAGCAAAAATTGAGATAAGGACCCAAGCAACGCTGGGTAAGTCTTCTAGTTGAACTATAAACAAGTAACCTAGCAAGATGTACCCACAACAGGTATGTCAGTTTACTGTCCATACCAGCCTGTACCAGTAGAGAAAAAACTGTGGTGTAGAAATGACCTGTAAGATATTGTGATCTCAATCACAAGAGCCCATGAAGAGGAAGGAAACATTTCACAGAATTAAGGGTTTTCACAGCAGACTGTATCTATAAAACAGTGGTTCTCACGGTGGCCCAGCTGTGAGCTAGAAGAAATGCAAAATGTGCTACTCTGGTACGCAGGAGGTGGGCTGGCTGAGGGAGACAGCACCTTGCAGCCTGTGCAAGTACCTTGACAGCAGGAGGCTGGAGAGTGCCAGAACGGGCAGGAGACTGGGTCAGAGGGCAGGTTTGGGGAGAATGGGCCCCTCTGGGCAGTAACAAAGTTGGAGGGAGTCCTCGAAACTAGCAGTTTTCTGGGGTTCTACAGCATCCCCAGGTTTTAGGTGTAGCACTGTTTCTGGCCCCCGTTCTCAGATCCTGGCTGCCAGCCTGCACCAGGCACTGAACTCCTAGCTAGATGCCAGGGGTCCTGGCTGCCCATCGGCTTCACTTCTGGCCTTGCTCTGGGAAAAGATATTGGCCATACGGGATCATAGATGGATTCTGTGGGGCTGGAGAGTGGGACCACACTGTGGTTCTCAACCTGCAGCCCACAATGATAAATAGGTTGAGAACTAGGGATGTTAATAAGCTAATTGACTAGTCGATGGAATTTCCATCGACTATTCATTTAGTTGATTAGAGGATTAGCTCCCAGGGCAGCACAAGCCAGGACTGAGCATCCACTGCGGCTCTGCTTTTTAAATGTAGTAAAAGCTGCCAAGGAGACTGAGAAGTCCCAGCTTGCGCCGAATCCCAGACCACTGCAGCTCTGCTTTTTAACTAGGCTCAAGTCCCAGGTCCCCTGCTGCACCTCTGCCTCCCCGCGGAGATGGTGCTGGGGGGAACCTGCTTCAACCGGATTGCCCCTCTCAGTTCAAGTTAGAATATCTTCACTAGACCCGCTAATTTGAATCCTGGAAGATCAACAGAGGAAGCTTCAATCTTCTGTTGCGTAGACATGGTGGCTAAGAGAGAACTGTTGTACTATAAAATAAAGCAGTGGTCTCCAATGCGGTGCCTGCGGGCGCCATGACGCCCGCCGGGGCATTTGTGTGCGC